CACAGAATTGTTACTCAGGGACAGACACAGAATTGTTACTCAGGGACACAGAATTGTTACTGAGGGACACAGAATTGTGTACTGAGGGACACAGAATTGTTACTCAGGGACAGACACAGAATTGTTACTCAGGGACACAGAATTGTTACTGAGGGACACAGAATTGTTACTCAGGGACACAGAATTGTTACTCAGGGACACAGAATTGTTACTCAGGGAGGGACACAGAATTGTTACTCAGGGACACAGACACAGAATTCAGGGACACAGAATTGTTACTCAGGGACACAGAATTGTTACTCAGGGACACAGAATTGTTACTCAGGGACACAGAATTGTTACTGAGGGACACAGAATTGTTACTCAGGGACACAGAATTGTTACTCAGGGACACAGAATTGTTACTCAGGGACACAGAATTGTTACTCAGGGACACAGAATTGTTACTCAGGGACACAGAATTGTTACTCAGGGACAGACACAGAATTGTTACTGAGGGACACAGAATTGTTACTCAGGGACACAGAATTGTTACTCAGGGACACAGAATTGTTACTCAGGGACAGACACAGAATTGTTACTCAGGGACACAGAATTGTTACTGAGGGACACAGAATTGTTACTCAGAGGACACAGAATTGTTACTCAGGGACACAGAATTGTTACTGAGGGACACAGAATTGTTACTGAGGGACACAGTTGTTACTCAGAGGGACACAGAATTGTTACTCAGGGACACAGAATTGTTACTCAGGGACACAGAATTGTTACTCAGGGACACAGAATTGTTACTCAGGGACACAGAATTGTTACTCAGGGACACAGAATTGTTACTCAGGGACAGACACAGAATTGTTACTCAGGGACACAGAATTGTTTACTGAGGGACACAGAATTGTTACTCAGGGACAGACACAGAATTGTTACTGAGGGACACAGAATTGTTACTCAGAGGGACACAGAATTGTTACTCAGGGACACAGAATTGTTACTCAGGGACACAGAATTGTTACTCAGGACAGGGACACAGAATTGTTACTCAGGGACACAGAATTGTTACAGGGACACAGAAATCACAGTTACTCAGGGACACAGAATCGTTGAATTAAAGAGTATGTCAGACAACACGCAGAGGAGTGGCAGAGGAGGCAATGTTTCAGGAGCGAGCAGACGTGGCAGCAGAGGAAGGGGTCGAGGCAGCACTAGTCGCAGCCAGAGGCCAGTGCTGCTCCCGGTGTCATCCAGCGGTCGTGTCTCCACCGACAACCCTGCCGTCATCGATTGGTTGGCTCGGTCGTCTTTCCTCTTCCCAGGTCACCTCTGACACCTACAGCCAACGGTCGGTGGGTACGTCAGACACAACCGTTAGTTGGCATGGCCCGGGAGCAAGCCCACTGAAATCACGTGTCCTCTACCTGCCCCTGTCCTTTGGTGTTCCCTCACCAAGCGAAGTATCGCATGCTGTGGGCTCAGCCCCACTGTACAGTGAGGAAGAGCTAACAGAGGGCGGTCAGGAACGGGGGGGGGAGACATCCGCCTCTTCAGCAGCCAGGCGAAGAAGTACTGGCGAGGAGAGTGGCTCGGTAGCCGGTCTAGAGACAGGTCTGTCTCCTGACCCACACGCAGCCGAGGGGGGCTAGTAGTGAGGCGGAGACCCTAATTGATGATGATGAGGCTGATCGCACTTGGCAGCCTCTCGTCGTCATCAGGCTATTGCTTCCGCATCATCAGGAGAAGAGGGTGCCAGCTTGGCAGCGAGCAAAACAGTCGGTGGGTTGCCCAGGAGGCAGCAGGGTCGCAGCAGTGTCAGTGGAGGCAAACGGCCACGGAGTAGAGCACCAGCTCCACTGCAGCCTACCACCACGGCCAGTAGTGGTGCCGGTGTGCACGGAGGAAGTAGCAGTCAGCCAGTGAGGAGTAGCGGGGGCAAAGTTTCCTACTCGGCGGTGTGGCAATTTTTCGTCAAGCCGCCCGAGGAAGTAAACGTAGCCGTATGTCGACTATGTGGCCAGAAAGTCAAGCGTGGCCAGGGGGCCCATGTTGGGACTACAGCGTTGCGTCAGCATATGCAGCGTCGCCATTTCGGTGGCCTGGGGAAAACCGTGATAAAGATACGGCGGTTCTGCCTGCCCCAGCCCCCCCGCTCCATCACCCGCTCCGTTACTTGCTCCGTCACCCGACGTCAATCGCCCTCTATCAGCCAGTCAAGGGCTCCAACACCTCTGCTGAGGGGAGTTGTCGCTCGTTGGCATCTTCCGCTCGTTCAGATGCTCCTTCTCCTGCTACTCCTCTTCACGGATTCCGTCAGCAGTCTTTCTTGGAATCCGTTTCCAAGAGAGACAACAGTTTGCGAGCACGCACCCGACGGTGCAGAAGCTGAACGTCCTCCTGTCCAAGTTGCTGGTGCTGCAGTCCCTCCCTTTCCAAGTGGTGGACTCAGCACCTTTCCGAGAAATGATGGCTTGTGCCGCGCCGCGGTGGAGAGTGCCAAGCCGGCATTTCTTCGCCAAAAAGGCAGTGCCAGCCCTGCATTCACATGTAGAAGAGATGGTGGGCCAGTCTTTGAGCATGTCGGTCTCTGCCAAAGTGCACGGCAGCGCGCCGACGTGTGGAGCTGTAACTACGGTCAGGGACAGTACATGTCATTTACGGCCCACTGGGTGAACGTGGTGCCGGCACAGCCGCACCAGCAACTTGGACAGGTCACGCCGCTTTTGCCTCCACGTTTGCACGTCCTTGGTCCAGCAAAGATGTCCGCCTCTACCACCTCTTCTTCCGCCGTGTCCTCAGCCGCCACCCCCGTGCCAAGTCCCATTACCCGACCGGCATATCACATGTGCAGGGCGCAACGGTGTCACGCTGTGCTGCACCTGGTATGCCTTGGCGAACGTAGTCACAGGGGAGGAACTTCTGAGTGTAATGAACAGAGAAATCGACAGATGGCTGTCTCCGCGCAAACTGAAAATCGGAACCATGTTGACCGACAACGGAAAGAACATGGTGTCTGCTCTGCGTCAAGGAAGGTTGTGCCATGCGCCATGCATGGCTCACGTGTTCAATCTGGTTGTCAAGCGGTTCCTAAAATCCACCATCCCACTGCAAGACATCCTTAAAATGTCACGTAAACTTTGCATGCATTTCAGCCATTCCTACACCGCAAAGCACACCCTCCTTGAGCTGCAGCGGCAGAACGGAATTCCACAGCATCGCCTGATCTGCTGCGACGTTGCAACAAGGTGGAATTCAAACCCTACATATGTTAGACCGCCTTTACGAACAGCGAAAGGCCATCACCGATTTCCTGATGTTACAAGCGGATAAAGGTACTCCCCTGTGTAACTTAGATGTCAGCCATTGGCAGCTCATGCGTGACACCTGCCGCTTGCTCAGGCCCTTTGAGGAGGCCACGCTATTCGTGAGTCGGCAGGACTATGGGATGATGAACGACGTCATTCCTCTGTTGCACGTCCTGGAACAAATGCTGTTAACAATGGCTGGTCAGGGTGCGGTAGACGTGGCGCACAGATCTCAACGCCACATGACCCCTGTGGGGGGCAGGACAGGAAGAAGAGGAGGAGGTAGAGGAGGACATTGGTGCTCAGGAATTATTGAGTGAAATGGGTGGTTTTTTCCACTCAGCGGACAGAGTGTGGAGCAGGAGCATCTGGTAGAGGAGGAGGAGGAGGAGACAGAGGACCCAGACGCACCGTGGCAGTATGCTGTGGAGATGGAGGCAGGGAGTCCCTCGCATTCCTTGGCACAAATGGCCCATAGCATGCTCGGTTGCTTGCGTAGCGACAGCCGAATAATAACCATCAGACAGAGGGATGACTTTTGGCTGTCCACCTTGTTGGACCCTCGCTACCGTTCAAAAATGGTGGCCTTTTTCACACCTGCTGAGAGGGAGGCCAAAATAACGTACTATAAAAACCACCTATGTAGTCAGTTGGTGGTCTCTGCCTTTCTGCGCCAACGTCCATCCTCAGACACTGTGGGCCCTGTGCGCTCGCGTTCCGCTGCCATGGCAGCAGGGGGGGTGGGGTGGTAGGAGCAGTGGCAGCTCCACCAGCAGCGGCTGCCTCAGTCTGCAGTCGATGATGAGTAGCTTTCTTCACCAGCGCAGTGAGGAGGAAACTACTAACAGCCAGCAGCAGCAGCAGCATCAGGTGGACCTGGAGCAGGACCTCAAACAACAGGCTTGGGCCTACTTGGACAGCACCCTGCCAACCGAGGTAGACAATCCCCTTGACTACTGGGCAACGAAACTTGACCTTTGGCCCCAACTAGCTGAATTTGCCCTTGAAAGGCTGTCATGCCCGGCCAGTAGCGTGGCATCGGAGCGCGTGTTTAGTGCGGCAGGAGGTATTGTAACTCCGCGGAGGACACGACTGTCCACCCAAAGTGTGGAGAGACTCACGTTTGTGAAAATGAATCAGGCGTGGATTAGTCTGGATTTCAAACCACCAGTTCCTGACACAACTGACTAAATCCGCCATGAATCATGCCCCAAACATGTTATTATTTTTAACATAGGCCTCTGTATGGCCTTCAATTTAAGCTGCTTACGCTTCGCCACTCTGCCATGGGCCCCTGTACCGCCTCCTCTTGCTGCTGCCAGGTCCAGAGTGTGTCATGGGTCCCTGTACGGCCTCCCATTGCTGCTGTCTCCATCGCCACACTCTGCCATGTGCCACTTTCAGGTCTCCTCACACTGCTGGTGGGTTCCATTTTGTCATAGGGTGCTGGCAGATTACGGGCCTCCCATTGCTGCTGCCAGGCCCGTAATCTGCCATGGGCCCCTGTACCGCCTCCTCATGCTGCTGCCAGGTCCAGAGTGTGTCATGGGTCCCTGTACGGCCTCCCATTGCTGCTGTCTCCATCGCCACACTCTGCCATGTGCCACTTTCAGGTCTCCTCACACTGCTGGTGGGTTCCATTTTGTCATAGGGTGCTGGCAGATTACGGGCCTCCCATTGCTGCTGCCAGGCCCGTAATCTGCCATGGGCCCCTGTACCGCCTCCTCATGCTGCTGCCAGGTCCAGAGTGTGTCATGGGTCCCTGTACGGCCTCCCATTGCTGCTGTCTCCATCGCCACACTCTGCCATGTGCCACTTTCAGGTCTCCTCACACTGCTGGTGGGTTCCATTTTGTCATAGGGTGCTGGCCCAGATTACGGGCCTCCCATGCTGCTGCCAGGCCCGTAATCTGCCATTACCGCCTCCTCATGCTGCTGCCAGGCCCGTAATCTGCCATGGGCCCCTGTACCCTCCTCATGCTGCTGCCTGCCAGGTCCAGAGTGTGTCATGGGTCCCTGTACGGCCTCCCATTGCTGCTGTCTCCATCGCCACACTCTGCCATGTGCCACTTTCAGGTCTCCTACACTGCTGGTGGGTTCCATTTTGTCATAGGGCTGCTGTACGGGCCTCCCATTGCTGCTGCCAGGCCCCTAATCTGCCATGGGCCCCCGTACCGCCTCCTCATGCTGCTGCCAGGCCCGTAATCTGTCATGGGCCCCTGTACCGCCTCCTCATGCTGCTGCCAGGTCCAGAGTGTGTCATGGGTCCCTGTACGGCCTCCCATTGCTGCTGTCTCCATCGCCACACTCTGCCATGTGCCACTTTAAGGTCTCTCCTCACACTGCTGGTGGGTTCCATTTTGTCATAGGGTGCTGTATGGCCTCCCATTGCTGCTGCCTCCACCGCCACACTGTGGCTCCACACTCTGGTTTTGGCCCCGTGACTGCCCAAATGAGTGAAGTGTGCGGTGATTCTAAGATCGACGGCACTCATCTGCATGTCATACTGACTGACAGTATTATTTCTCTTCCCCAGCAGACTCCAAGGGCATTTAAATTAAAGGTACAGTGTTCTGCACTAATATAAAGGCTCTCTGAAGCCTAGAAACACCCTTTTTATAAGTTAAATTCGCAGCGAATATATTCGCTCGAATCGAATTTATTCCTCGAATTCGCCGAATCAGCCGAATCGAATTTTTGAATACTTCGCTCATCTCTAGAGGAGTTCAAGAAGCAAGCCGGGGTCAATCACAGGTATCACTCACAGAAACAGGCACATGAATACGGTAGGGGGAGCTGCAGATCAGACAGCACAGGCTAATAGTGCTGCTGGGTTTAAAAAGTCTGATTGGTGCCAACATTAGCAACGGGCAGTCACGGGTGCACGCATGCGCAAACGCAAATGCACACAACTATGCACCGCAGAACGGGCCCAGCATCTGCGCCTGTGCCACTGTGTAAGCCCAGAGGCTTATTTCAAGCATCTTCCTGACACATGATTTAATTTATTGTTAGCTGTAAACAACAAGCACATACGGGGAAAAAAAACACTCAATTTTAAGAGAGTTAATTTTCCAAGGCTGAGAGCTGCTATCCAAGACTTAGACTGGGAGGGAGTATTGGCATCAATGAGCACAACACAGAAATGGGAGACTATGCGAACAAATTACAAAATATATTCCCATGGGCAACAAGTTTAAAAGGCTAAAAATAAAACCTATGTAGCTTACGGCCAAAGTTAAAAAAGCTATAGATAATAAGGAAAGAGCTTTTATAAAATATGAAAATGAAGGAACGTTATCGCTTAAACATCACAAAGAATATAACAGAATATGCAAAAATTGAAAATGAACGACAGATTGCAAAGGATACCAGGACAAACCCCCAAAAATTATTCAAATATATTAATAATAAAAAGGTTTGGTCCGAGCATGTAGGCCCTTTATAAAATAATGTAGAGTGGAAGACTGGGGACAAGGAGAAGGCAAATTTATTAAATACCTTCTTCAGCTCTGTGTATACAAAGGAGCATGGGGGAGCTCTTGTCCATAATGGGCATAGTATTGACACAACTCCAGCTGAACCACAATTGATATGACCCAGAAATATTTAGACTGAATAAAGGTGAATAAAGCACCTGGACTGGATGGCATACACCCATGGATCCTTAAACAATTGATCTCTGTCATTTCAAAGCCATTGTTTCTAATTTTTAGGGACTCTTCAATGACTGGCATAGTACCACTGGACTGGTGTAAGGCCAATGTGGTGCCAATATTTAAAAAGGGGTTAAAATCACCAAGTAATTATAGACCTGTTAGTTTAACTTCTTTAGCTGGGAAGATACTGGAGAGTTAAATAAAAGACCACACAGATGAGTTCATGCTGGAAAAAAATATTTTAAGCAACAGACAGCATGGATTCATGAAAGACAGAAGTTGTCAAACAAATCTGATTTCTTTTTATGAGGAGGAGAGCAAAACCTTGGACAGAGGGGGTGGCGGTGGACGTGGTATACTTGGATTTTGCAAAAGCGTTTGACACAGTTCCCCACACATGGCTAATGTGTAAGGTAAAGTCTACAGGTTTGGAAAAATCCGTATATACAGTATCTCACAGAAGTGAGTCCACCCCTCACATTTTTGTAAACATTTTATTCTATCTTTTCATGTGACAACACTGAAGAAATGACACTTTGCTACAATGTGGCGTAGTGAGTGTACAGCTTGTATAACAGTGTAAATTTGCTGTCCCCTCAAAATAACTCAACACACAACCATTAATGTCTAAACCCCTGGCAACAAAAGTGAGTACACCCCTAAGTGAAAATGTCCAAATTGGGCCCAATTAGCCATTTTCCCTCCCCGGTGTCATGTGACTCGTTAGTGTTGCAAGGTCTCAGGTGTGAATGGGGAGCAGGTGTGTTAAATTTGGTGCCCTCTCTCTCTCTCTCTCTCTCTCTCTCTCGTCACTGGAAGTTCAACACGGCACCTCATGGCAAAGAACTCTCTGAAGATCTGAAAAAAATAATTGTTGCTCCACATAAAGATAGCCTAGGCCAGGCATGTCCAAAGTCCGGCCCGCGGGCCATTTACGGCCTGGGGGTCGGTTTAATACGGCCCTCCAACAGCCCTCCCTGCTCTGTGTAATGTGGCCCTCCCACGGCCCTCCCTTCTATGGCAGACAGTCTTCTGCTTGAGAGCAGAGGGCAGTGCGCATGCCTGACCGTGGCGCGTTCTCCCTGGTCTGTGTAAATGCGGCTGTCGCACGGCCCTCCCTTCTGTGGCAGACAGTCTTCTGCTTGAGAGCAGTGCGCATGCGTGACTGTGCCGCGCTGGGAGCGACAGAGGGCGGTGACGTCAGGGCCGGGCTTCCAGCGTGAAGTGTGTTTCTCTTCCCCTCCCGGCTGCCGAGCAGAGACTTCAGCTCCAGCTACCTTTTTCACCCTTCACATTAGTGCAGGTAAGTTTTTTTTTTTATTTATTTTCAATACATTGTGAAAACTCAGCTGTCAGTTGATCTTAATGTTATGAAATGAAAAGTATGTCGTTTGCAATTAACTTGGCATAAAATAATTTATTTGCATTTAATTGTAATGGTTCAAAGAATGTTCGGAAAAATGTTCGGCCCTCCACCATGTTCACTTCATCCAATCTGGCCCTCTTTGAAAAAAGTTTGGACACCCCTGGCCTAGGCTGTAAGAAGATTGCCAAGACCCTGAAACTGAGCTGCAGAATGGTGGCCAAGACCATACAGCAGTTTAGCGGGACAGGTTCCATTCAGGTTACTTTTTAATATATTTCTAAACAATAAAGGTTCTGGGATTAACAATACCATTTCTGTCTCTGCAGATGACACCAAGCTGTGCAGTGGAATAACATCCTTACAGGATGTCTCCAATTTAAAAGATGACCTCAATGTACTGTTTAATTGGGCAACTATGTGGTAAATGAGGTTTAATGTTGATAAATGTAGGGTTATGCACTTGGGGGCTAAGAATATGCATGCATCATACATACTAGGGGGAGTACAACTGGGGGAATGATTGGTGGAGAAGGATCTGGGAGTTCTGGTAGATCACATGCTTAATAATGGCATGCAATGCCAAGCTGCGGTTTCTAAAGGAGCTCAGCTATGAGGAAAGATTAGAGGAACTGAGTTTATTCTCTCTTGAGAAGAGGAGATTAAGGGGGGATATGATCAACATGTATAAATACATAAGGGGGGATATGATCAACATGTATAATACATAAGGGGGGATATGATCAACATGTATAAATACATAATGGGGGATATGATCTCCATGTATAATACATAAGGGGGGATATGATCTCCATGTATAATACATAAGGGGGGATATGATCAACATGTATAAATACATCAGTGGTTCATATAGTGAATTCGGTGTAGAGTTATTCACCCTGAGGTCATCACAGAGGACAAGGGGGCAGTCTTTACCTTCTGGAGGAAAAGAAATGTAATCTCCAAACACGGAAAAGGTTTCTTCACAGTAAGAGCTGTGAACATGTGGAATAGACTCCCTCAAGAGTTGGTTCTGGCCAGCCCGGTGGATTGCTTTAAAAAAGTCCTGGATTCTTTCTTAGATACACAGAATATAACTGGATACTAACATTTATAGGTAAAGTTGATCCAGGGAATATCCGATTGCCTCTGGGGGGATCAGGAAGGTTTTATTTCCCTGCAGGAGCAAATTGGATCATGCATTGCTAGGTTTTATTGCCTTCCTCTGGATCAACTGTGGGAATAGGATTATAACTTTTTTTTTTTAATGGTTGAACTGGATGGACTTTTGTCTTTTTTCAGGCAGACTAAATATGTAAGTTTATACCCAGCCCAAGCTAATGCCTATCTCCGACTACCCTCTCAATCTCATGGGAGAAATACTCTCTCTTGCAGGATACTCAGTTTCCTAGAGGAGACACATACACACACTCCCTCCCTCCACTCTCTCTGTCACTTTCTCAGACTAGATTCACATAATCTGTGTTTAATTTAGCATGCGTTAAATGCACTTGCTCTGTGTTGATATGCATTTTGTTTTTGGTTGCCATGTATTGCTGTTCATTTTTCTTTTTTTTTTCTTGCACTAGTACGTGTTGCAATAAGTTTCATTGTATTTAACCATTTGCCATTGGAAGATTTACATTACATATTACATTTTTTTCCTATACGGTGCTGCACAACTTTAGCTGACAATTGCACGGTCATGTAACACTGTACACAAATGAAATTTGTATAATTTTTTCTCACAAATAGAGCTTAAATTTGGTCATATTTGATCATCACTGTTTTTTTTTATTTTTGCGCTATAAATGAAAAAAGACCAAAATTAAAAAAAAAAAAAAAACAGCAAACAAGATTTTTTATTTTTGCTATAAAACATATCCAATAAAAAAAATAAAATGTTTTCATACATTTAGGCCAAAATGTATTCTTTGGTAAGAAAAAAAAATCTCAGTAAGTGTATATTGATTGGTTTGCAGGAAAATTATAGCATCTACAAACAATGGTATCCTGGAATTTATTTTTGTTACTAGTAATGGCAGCAATCAGCAACTTATAGTGGGACTGTGATGGTGCAGTAGGCACTTTGACAATAACTGACACTGGGTGGGAACTGACTAACTGCCACTCCCATCTCCAGTGACACTAATACAGTAATCAGTGCTAATAAAAAGCACTGTCACAGTACTAATGACACTGGGCAATCAAAGGGTTAACTGTGTGCCAGGGACTGTTATTGTTTGTGCAGTGTGCTGTTTTACTAGGGGATGTACTGGTTTTTATTCCCCTCTCTTGCTGACAGGAGAGAGATCTGTGTTGTGTCAGTTGCTGCTGATTGCTGGTGTCTTGGCCATGAATCACTGGCTGGGACCAATGATTGACATCAAGGGAGCCAATGACAGCGTGGGTAGGCACACGCATGCATGCCATCTACGCAGAAAAGCAGAATCACGTACACTCACCGACTGCTTTATTAGGTACACTTTGCTAGTGCCAAGAAAATATCCCCCACACCATTACACCACCACCAACCTGAACTGTTGATACAAGGCAGGATGGATC